TGACATATATATATATATATATATATATATATATATATATATATATATATATGATCAACAACGACTGCAAAGAGATGATTTGAAGAAATCCAAATTCTTTTAGATGATTTCACGGTTAGATGGACCTGGTTATGTGTTTTTTATGTTTCAATTTGCTCACTCGGTTTCATCTCCTGACTCGAGCAATTTCAAATAGGAAAATATCCAAAAAAAAATCTCAAGTTTGTAATACAAGTCCGGTCAAAATCTAAATTAATTATAAATAAAAATAAGCAATTGTCTTTATAGATACATCCAAAGAACTACTATTAAACAATATCGTGCAAACTAAACGCAAAGGAAATGGAAGAGAAATCCAAAAACAAACCCTAGTTTTCCGATGCAGAAAATGTTAGACTAGTCTAAGTGATGAGATTTCTATATCAAACCAATCAAAATTATCATATTTTAGATATAGATGTTGTGAAACTATAGAAGTAGAAACTGGAAGAATTGTTTTCTTATTCGATCTCAGGAAGAATGTCTTCCTTAAGTAGAAGTACAAGGAACTGAAAGTTACGTAAATGCAGGAAACAGAGCATATCTAAATAGATATGCATATACAGATGAGATAGAAATATAAACAACCAAATCGTAACCATATATATCTAATACTCCCCCTCAAGATGGAGTGTAGAGAGAAAAAACACCCATCTTGGATAGCAAATGTCTGAAAATCTCCACCGAAACAGGTTTTGTCAAAATATCAGCGAGTTGGTCGCGAGAAGAAACATGTAAAGGCTTGAGAAAACCGGATTTGCAGCGATCTCGGACGAAATGACAATCAAGTTCAATGTGTTTGGTCCTCTCATAAAAAACCGGGTTATTAGTCATCTGAACTGCCGATTGATTGTCACAAAACAACGGAATCGGCTGAGGGACAGAAACATGTAATTCCTGTAACAGAGCTGCAATCCAGACCATTTCGCAAGTGGTTTGAGCTAATGCTCTGTACTCTGATTCAGTTGAACTACGGGAGATAGTCTGCTGTTTCTTCGACTTCCAAGATATCAATGAATCGCCCAAGAAAATACAGAAGCCCGTCACAGAACGACGCGAATCGGGGCATGCCGCCCAATCAGCATCTGAAAAAGCTCGAAGACGAACATCAGAGGATGACGAGTATAATAAACCTTGGCCAGGGTCGTTCTTTAAATAACGTAAAATCCTGTGGGCAGCCTGTAGATGAGCCGTCCGAGGTTGAGACATATATTGGCTCAGTTTCGTTACAGAAAAACTGATGTCTGGACGAGTGATGGTCAAGTAAATCAATTTCCCGATTAATGCCCGATAATGTGACGGATCAGAAAGAAGGTCACCTGATTCAAGACCCAGTTTCATATGAGATTCCATCGGGGTTGCAATGGGTTTGCATCCCAGCAAGCCAAATTCATCCAACAATTCCAACGTATATTTACGTTGACAAACCGAAATCCCGTGGTTGGAACGTGCTATCTCCAATCCAAGAAAATAATGCAAGTCACCAAGATCTTTGATCTGAAAATTCGAATGCAGTGTGTCCTTCAGAAGCTTAATCAAATCTGCATCATTGCCAGTAATCATGAGATCGTCAACATAAATGAGAACTGCAACAATGCTGGAACCTCGAGTCTGCACAAACAGAGAAGTATCCGATGCAGACTGAATAAACCCAGCAGCGAGAAGCACTTGAGAAAGCTTATGATTCCATTGACGAGAGGCCTGTTTGAGGCCATAAAGAGATCTGTTGAGTTTGCAAACCGAGTTAGGAGGGACTGTCTCCCCCTTAAGCGTAGAATATCCCGGTGGAAGCAACATGTAAATCTCCTCACTAAGATCGCCATTCAAGAAAGCGTTAGAAACGTCCATCTGACATAACAACCATTTATTCGCAGCAGCTAGTGCAAGGAGAACTCTAACAGTCGTCATCTTGGCTACGGGACTGAAGGTTTCAAGATAGTCGATACCTTCGAGTTGAGTATAGCCTTTAGCGACTAACCGGGCCTTATGTCTCTCTACCGAGCCATCCGGGTTGTACTTAGTTTTGAACACCCATTTGCACCCTATGGGTCGTTTCCCGGAAGGAAGAGAGCAGATCGTCCATGTGTTGGTGCGAGATAGAGCACCCAACTCGAGTTTCATAGCCTCTTTCCAGTTATCGAACTTGACAGCTTGTGAAAAGGAAGTGGGTTCAGGTGCAGTGGAAATCGAAATGACAAAGGTTTTGAAAGGCGGGTTCAGTTTCTCATATGATAGAAATGAAGATAAAGGAAAATATGTAGAAGCAGAAGTGGGTGGTGATGTGTTATGAGAAAGCATATAACAGTGATAGTCGGATAAATATGCGGGAGTTTTGATCAGTCTAGCTGGTCTGGCAATGTTCTCTGAGATAGATGATGTAGAGGAAGTCAAAGGCTGAATATAGGGAGATGAAGATAAATGGGTGGAAGACAAAGAATTTGACGGGGAAACAGAGGAAGAATAAGAAGAAGGCTCATCGTAAAGAAGGAAAGGAGACACTGGACATGAAAACAAATCACGAGTTGAAGGTGGCAAAGTTTCAGACTGAAACGGAAATTGAGACTCATGAAATATGACGTTGCGAGATATACAGACCGCGTTCGACTCCAAGTCCAGAACTTTGTATCCCTTGGTACCAGATGGGTAACCAAGAAAAACAGCAGGTCGGGCTCGGGGAGAGAATTTATGTCTGTCTTTTGCATGGGTGGAATAGAAACAAAGACAACCAAAGACTCTAAGATGTGAATAACACGGTTTGGTCTTGGTCAGAATCTCAAACGGAGTCTTGTGGTTCAACAAAGCAGTCGGAGTTCGATTGATAAGATAAACCGCTGATAGAATGCAATCGCCCCAATATTGGATCGGAATATTGGATTGAAAGAGAAGAGCGCGGGCAACATTCAATATATGTTGATGTTTGCGCTCGACAACCGAGTTCTGTTGGGGAGTGTAAGGACAAGCAAAGTGATGAACAATCCCTGTTTGTAAAAGAAGATCGGTGAAAGCAAGTTCAGGGGCGTTATCAGTTTGAATAGCTTTGATTGTTGCAGAAAACTGTGTATGAATCATAGTAAGAAATTGAGGAAATTTGAACGAAACCTCATGTTTATTCCGTAACAAATACACCCAAGTCACCCTCGTACAGTCATCGACAATAGTAAAAAAATACTTATGCCCATCAACCGTAGGAGTATGAAAGGGGCCCCAAATATCAAGATGCAACAAATCAAAAGGATGCTCGGACAAATGAGCTGAAACAGGAAATGAGAGATTTTTCTGTTTGGCTAGAGGACAAACCGAACAGAAAAATTTATTATCTGAAGAAGACGAAAAAAGAAGCTCCTGAGAGTTTGCCAAACCATGGATTCGAATGTTGGATGGATGTCCAAAACGGTTGTGCCAAACTTCAAGGCTGGTAGCAGAAAAAACATAATGTGGCTGGGGAAGAGGTGGTGATGCAGAGCAGGAAGGTGTCTGCATTTCGAGTATATAAAGGTCATGGAACTGCCTACCCTTGCCAATCATCAAGTCCCGAGAATGGTCCTGGATGATGTAAGAATCACACGAGAAAATCACAGAGAGATTAGTGTGTTTAGTAAGAGAGCTGATGCTAAGGAGATTATAGTGAAAGGTTGGAGCAAATAAAACAGAACGGATGGTAAGCAAGGGAGACAGAATTACTGTACCAGACTGGGAAACAGATATTGAAGAACCATTAGGTAACGAGATGGAAATGGGAGAAACATCAAATAATTCAGAGAACAATGCCTTATCACAGCAGACGTGAGTACTTGCTCCTGTATCAAGTATCCAACTAGTATCCAACTAGCAGCAGGGAGAGAAGTAGAGGGTAAAGAAAATATCGGCTGAAAGGAAAAAATACCTGGGGAATTGGATTGACAAGCTGTTGAGTTCGAATTCGGGAATGAGCTACTAAGACCCTTGAGTTGAGAACTAAACTGAGAAATCAGATTCTGAGCTTGTATCAATGCATCCTGCTGAGAAGTATGAGTAGGTGAAGAAGACTCTGCAGAAGAATTACCAGGAGCTGTGATCATATTCACTCGAGGATGAGATATGTCAGAGGAAAATTTCCTTGCTGAATGTCCAGAAGCATCACGATTCTGCCAAGAACCAGATGATTTCTGGGGATAACCATAAATCTTGTAGCATCGATCAATAGTGTGGCCCATCAAGCCACAGTGAGTGCATTGTGGACGAGATTTGTATTGAGTCACAACTTTGTTCGGAGTGCCAGCATGCTTCGAACGAGGAAACTGACCAGAAGCTTGAAATGCCACAGAGTCTGAAGGCAGAGGAGAGATTAAGCGCTGACTCTCCTCCTGTGAAATGAGATTAAAAGCCTTCGTGAGGTCAGGTAAAGGATCCATCATGAGAATCTGTCGTCTCGCAGGTGTGTACGACTCATTGAGTCGCATAAGAAACTGAACAACTTTCCTTTTGTCGAAGAACTCCTGCCAGCGAGAGGTAATGCCACAAGAACAGTCGTTACATGTGCATTTAGGAAGTGTTTCAAAGTTCCGAAGTTCCTCCCATAAGGACTGGAGCTTAGTGTAATATGCATTGAGATCTAATGATCCTTGATGTAGATTGTCAAGTTGTTGTTGAACATTGTATATTTTCGAAAGATTCGTCTGCTTGAAACGATCTTCCAGATGTTGCCATGCTTCCTGAGCTGTGTCCAGATAAATAATCAGACTTGCAATGTTTGCAGAAACAACATTTCGAATCCAAGTAAACACCAGATCATCACAACGAGACCATGCACCAGCAGTAACATGATCACAAGGAGGTTTCGGCATGGTGCCATCCACAAAACTCAGCTTGTTTTTGGCATTCAATGCTTTCACCATAGATCGAGACCAGACAGTGTAATTTGATTCTCCAATTAGCTTATCTGAAATAAGCGAGACACTTGAGGTGTCGGCTGCGTGAAGGTATAGAGGATTCGAGTATGGATCTGATGGAATTGTGGGTGGTGTTTGAACAGAGGATGTGACATCCTCGGAATCAGAGTGAGTCGCCATCAATTAGATGGGGAAAAAAAAGGAAGAAAAGAATCAAAAGAAAATCTCTGATACCATGTGAAACTATAGAAGTAGAAACTGGAAGAATTGTTTTCTTATTCGATCTCAGGAAGAATGTCTTCCTTAAGTAGAAGTACAAGGAACTGAAAGTTACGTAAATGCAGGAAACAGAGCATATCTAAATAGATATGCATATACAGATGAGATAGAAATATAAACAACCAAATCGTAACCATATATATCTAATAGATGTCGTTGATATTCGCAATAATTAAGAAACCAAGACATGGCTTTTGTTAGGGTTTGGGTTTACGTTCTAAAGCTCATAGGTTCAAACCGTACCTTTTAATAATTATTATTATTATTTAACAAGAACATAAAATTTTCTACTTTCTCAACGTTTTTGCCATATTTCTGTGTAATCATCCTCTATCTTTGAAATGTTTGATTTTTGGACATTGATGTGTACATGAAGAATAGTCCAAAGTGTCGTTAAGTCCAATGCTAGAAGTTTGTAACACGCTTAAATCGTTTAATTTACAGGCATGCATATAAGCGTTAGAAGTTAGGTTTCATGTACTATAAAGCAACTTATATATATATAAGAAATAAAGGAAAAGAAAATTAAGTGCTATCAATTTATTAAATGTCACATTTACTCCTAAAAAAATGGCTTTTTTTTGTGATATTTTGGCTAAATTTATAAAGGCTATTTAAACAAGCAAAGTGAGAACAACTAAAAACACTCTATTTTTCATCGTTTAGTCAATCTAACATTTCTTCAATCAAAATTTGATTAAAAATGAACAAAGTCATCAACTTTCAAGAACAGTTAAAAATTAACAAAGTCATCAACTTTCAAGAACAGAGAAACGCTAACTCTAAACAAGAAAGCGATGAAGAACTCGGAGGAGATGCAAGGAGGCTTGCTTTCTCGGGAGTGCTCCCGTGGGTACTGCAATCGGCCATCGAGCTCGGTCTCATCGATGCCCTCCACGTGGCAGCAGCTGAGGGTGGCTCGTTCCTCTCCCCTTCTGAAATCTCTCTTCGGCTGCCTTGTGTTCCAACAAACCCTAATGCTCCGGACATGTTGAACCGTGTCCTGAGGTTACTTGCAAGTTACTCTATCGTTGAGTGCCGTAGGGTTCGGACTGGAGAAAAGGTGGAGATTGCGTACCGGGCTAAACCAATTTGTCGGTTTCTGGTGAAAGATGGAGATCAAGATGGTTCCTTTGGTCCTTTACTCATGATGCTCAACTGTGACTTAGCCCGGTTGTGCTGGTAATCCTCGAATCGGGTTCGATCAAAATGAAAATAAACTATTAAAAGATTTCGATTCTTGAGTGTTCAAATGGCTCAGGCTCTTGTTCAGCTCTCAAAGTTCATGAGTTCGATCTATATCTTTAGGTTTTTGTATATACAGAAAACTGGTTTGCATGGATATCACATGGATTAGTCTGTGTTTGTACAAATTCAGGAGCCAGTTTAATGAGTTACTTCTCAAAGGGGGGAACGTATTTGAAATGGCGTGTGGGATGTCGTCATTCGAGTACAGTACAAAGGATAAAGGGTTCAATGTGTTGTTCCAAGAGGCAATGTCGGGTTGGACAAAGCTTGTCATGTCGAAGGTTGTAGGAATTTACAGAGGCTTCCAAGGCATAAAGGTTTTGGTCGATGTGGGAGGTGGAACCGGAGCCACCCTCCGCCTCATCGCCGCCAAGTATCCAAACATCAAGGCCGTAAATTTCGATATGCCTCACGTCGTGGCAATAGCACCTTCCCATCCAGGTTCAAGCTTTGTGTTTTCATTACGAGAATCACATCTCTCTCATTTCTTCTGTCTTCTGATATTGGTTAATTTGCTTGTTTAGATATTGAGCATATAGGCGGAGATATGTTCACAAGTGTTCCAAAAGGCGATGCCATAATCTTGAGGGTAACCACAATATTAGACACTCTTCTTTTTAAATCTTTTTTCTATACGGCGGTGTTTTTTGTTTGAATATATTCGATCTCTATGTATGCAGAATATCCTCCATGACTGGGACGACGAAAACTGCTTGAAGATCCTCAAGAATTGCTTCGAGGCTCTTCAGAGCAGCGGTAAACTGATTGTCGTGGAGTCGGTTTTCCCTGATGAACCTAAGAGCGATGTTTCTTCAAAGATAGCGACCCTCGATGATATTGGCATGCTTATTTCAACGCCTGGAGGGAAACAGAGAACTCGGGCCGAATTCAAAACTTTGGCCAATGATTCCGGTTTCGGGGACTGTCAATTCATATGTTGTGCATATGGAACTTCGGTTATAGTTATATGATACTCTTGTCTTGTCTACTTGCTATGATCTGTATTAGCCACGTTGTTATGAAGTTCTTTGTCGTTTCTTCTATAGTACTTTTTCTTCAAACTTAATTACGAGTTGAACAAGAATTGGATCCAACCTTATTCAAGAATAATAGAATCATGACATGTATATATATATATATGATCAACAACGACTGCAAAGAGATTATTTGAAGAAATCCAAATTCTTTTAGATGACTTCACGGTTGGATGGATCTGGTTATGTGTTTTTTATGTTTCAATTTGTTCACTCGGTTTCATCTCCCGACTCGAGCAATTTCAAATAGGAAAATATCCAAAAAAAATCTCAAGTTTGTAATACAAGTCCGGTCAAAATCTAAATTAATTATAAATAAAAATAAGCAATTGTCTTTATAGATACATCCAAAGAACTTGCAATTTTTGTTGATTTTTTGTTTTAACTCTAATTGAAAATATATTTATGTATTAATTTTTCCTAATCACTACTGTTTAAGAACAATAATAAATCTCACAATTTATAAGAACTAAACCAAACTTTGTTTTATGATAAATAAATATCTTATAATTGTATATGACAAACGAAAAAAAAAAAGATAGAAGAGTTAAGACATAGACGATTAACCAATAGAAACGTTTCAGCGCGAACAATATGCCGAAACGATGGGGATGGAATTTAATGCATTTTGCATGTTTTTATTTTTTAGTGTTTTTGGATGGTTTCCTTTTTTAAATGATATGGGTGGTCAGTAAAAATCTAGTTATTTGGGGTTATTATGATACTTTGATGGTTTTTAAGGCAGCAAAAAAAAATATTTAACGCATTGTTATTTAGATATCAAAGTCGTTTCATATAGTAAATGCATAGATGAAACCGAGTGAATGAAAAAAAAACTCGTTTGAATATCTATTTCTGAACTTCTGGATTATAAAAAAAAATAATCGAAACAATATTATCAATAGGTCCGTTCGATATGTTCTATAAAGTTCGATAAATTCATATACAACACAGTACGCATGGTTGTTTCAAATAATAATGCATAGTAAAACCCCATGAAGATTGCGCGTAACACGTTTAGAACATTTATTGATACCCGTAAAGTTTATGTTTCATGTCACTCATCCATCTATGGTCAAGGAGAGCATTAATGCGAAACTTACTGTTGAGGGAAAAAAACACGATTTTTTTAGTAATCTGACCAAAAATTTCTAGAATCGAGGGACTGAAATGTCACATTAAACCCTAACTAAGGCTATTTAGAGACGCTAATATCGTAACTCCGTTCTTACAACACAACATTAGTCTAAGATGAGCAAAGTTGGAAGCTTCCAAGAACAGGGAAACCCTAACCCTAAACCACTTCATGAACAAGAAGACGACGAAGAAATCGGAACAAGGAGGCTAGCTTTGTCGGGATCGCTTCCGATGGTGCTGAGATCAGCGGTCGAGCTCGGTCTCATCGACACCCTCCACGTGGCAGCTGAGGAGGGTAAAGGCGCGTACCTCTCACCTTCGGAAATCGCTCTTCGGCTACCTTCTGTTCCCACAAACCCTAATGCTCCGGATATGTTGAACCGCGTGCTGAGGTTACTGGCGAGCTTCTCGGTGGTCGATTGCCGTACGGTTCAGACCGCAGAGAAGGTGGAGAGTGTGTACCGAGCTAAACCGATTTGCCGGTTTCTGTTGAAAGATGGATGTCAAAAGGGTTCTTTGGGTCCTCTCCTCTTGTTGATCAATGATACCTTCAACTTAGCATGCTGGTAAATATACATATACATACACACACATATATTCATATATAGTATCCAATATACGCACACTGATATCTTTTAGAGAGAAAAACAACAACAACAGGAGCCATTTGAAGGAAGTAATAGTAGAAGGAGGGACTGCGTTCAACAGGGAATATGGGATGTCAGAGTTTGCCTATAAAGAAAGAGAGGGAAGGATGGCGGATTTATTCGAGAGGGCGATGTCGAATTACTCCAAGCTGTTGGTAACGAAGTTTCTAGAAGTATACAAAGGATTCGGAGGTGCCAAAGTGCTGGTCGATGTGGGAGGTGCGAATGGAGCAACCCTCAGCCTCGTCACCTCCAAATATCCTCGTCTCAAGGCCATTAACTTCGACCTCCCTTACGTCGTGGCCAATGCCCCTTCTCTGCCCGGTATCGTTTTCAAATTAATCGCAGGACAATTGTTCTTATTATTATTGATAATCAAAGAGTTTAGATTAGACGATGTTTTTTCCTTTTTAAACATTGGAAAAGAAGTACTTCATTCGTGTGAGAAGAGTGTTTTCTGTGTACGTAGGTATGGAACATGTCGGTGGAGACATGTTTGTGAACGTCCCGAAAGGAGATGCCATAATCTTGAAGGTAATATCTAGCTAGTCACGTGGTTTATACATACACACATACATACATATATACGTATGTACGTACGTACGTACGTAGTTTTTGAATCAATCGTATCTTTAATTAATTAATTAATAAACTTTCGTGTAGCATGTTCTCCACAATTGGAGTGATGAAAAGTGCGTGAAGATCCTCAAGAACTGTTGGAAAGCTCTGCCCGACAATGGCAAAGTGATTGTGATGGAATCAGTATTTCTCGATCAAACGAATGGCCATGATGACGCTTCCGACATTGTTGCTCTTGAAGATGTGTTGATGTTGGTTTTCTGCGAGGGAGGGAGAGAGAGGACGAAGGCCGAGTTCGAAGCTTTGGCCCTAAACTCTGGTTTTGCTGCCTGTGAACTCATTTGTTCGGCATACAAGTGTTGGGTTATGGAGTTCCGCAAGAACATCTGAAAAACGGGCCGACCGTATCGTATCGTATATGTATATGCTATGTCGACTGAAGAATGTTGAATAATTTCAGTTACGGTTAATTCATCGACCCATAGTGAAATAAAAACCAAGATTTCAATTGAAAGAGCTTTGTGCACTGCTTGTTCTTCTATGTGACATTACGTGTTGTCTCACTACTCATTTCATGTTTCTGGTTAAACCGGTCTCACTACTCGTTCCCACAAACGCATATAACGTTACAAAACCTTGCTCGAAGGTTGTTGCCTCAACCTGTTTTTATTCATGGAACACCACCCAACAAGATAGATTATTCGAAAGAACCAACATAAATAAAAAAAAAAAAAAAATCCCAAGGAGAGAAGAAGAGAGAATGGAAAATGGAAATGAGGCTGCCATCTGATAGATAGGAGATCCTTCCTCCTCAAAACTGTGTGTATGTATTCCTCCTCGTAACTACCCTGTATAGCAGCGAGAGCAACACGCTTACCACGGTCCCGAGTTTTTCGGTTTAGAGTTCATCCTTCACCGGCTTCTCCTCCTCCTTGGGCTCCTCAGTTTTCGGTTCCTCGGTCACGGGTTTTGCCATGTTGTCCTCGATGAAGCTTATGATTGCTTCCTTCGTCCTGTCTCCTTCGTACTGCACAATGCTCCCATTCGATGACCTGAAGTACATTGTTGGGAAACCCTTCACGTCGAATGTGTTTACCGGGAAATCGTTTGCTGTTGCGTCCTGGACACGGGAAAGAGAATATAAGCCAGTCAGTGAACATAGACAAAACCAGTAGGATGAGAAAACTCCCATGTTATAGATAGCCAGACTAACTAGTTTCGCAATAACGACACTCGGGTCGCTCTGGAATGAGACTGCGACTTCGTCCAAGATCGGAGCAAGCTTTTGGCAGTGTCCACACCACGGAGCGTAGAATTCAAGCAAAACTGCAAGCGGTAAAGTATCCACCGCAAAGAAAATCAGTCACCAGTCATTCCACAGAATACATATTATGAAGACTGGTAAGGGAATCACACTAACCGTTCTTCCCCGAGTTGAAAACCATGTCGTCGATGCTGTCTGCCACAACAACCTTCACTGGCTCGTTGTTTTCGGTCGGAACAGGTTGAGACTTTCTGTAAGCCTCAACTTTTCCATCCTGTATATGTTTTTATTCAGTTATAAACTTACATATATGTTTATACGCCGACATTCCACAAAATTTCCATGGTTACGCAAAGAAACTTAACCTTGTAGTCCTTCACCCACGATTCGATTTGATCGACCTCCAAATTTGCTTTCAAATACTTCTTGCCATCAGCAGTCTGGATGACGATGAGAGGAATCTGGCTCTCTTCGATTCCGAAGTACTGTTTTTTTTTATATATATATAAATAAACTCGGCTCAGTAATGTGTAAAGACCGCATCACAGGACGAGTGACGGAAAAGAGAGATGAGAAAGTAACCTGGAAAGCTCCTTTACTGGCCTCAGCATCTCCCATAAGAAAGCTAAGACCTTGTCCCTTGAAAGCCTTAGCTACTTCATAATACTTTGTTTTGAAAGACTCGACCGATCCAACGGAGAAGTTCATGAACAGCATTGCCTGAAAATTTCAAATTATTGCTCATTAAAACAGTAACCAGAGAAGGAACGGAATGTCCTAAAGAAACTTCAAGATACTCTATTGAACTTCCTATGAGAGAGAAATAAAGATACCATATGCAATCCAGAAGAAAAAAAATCTGGAATCAATTCGGAATCTTCAGTAATAGCATTTAATCACAGGCAACTGGGTCGAACATTATGTCATCACAAGCAGCACCAAAGAAAGATTGCAAACTTTCAAGCAGAGACTAAGCTACCAATCAATCACCAACACCATCCGGCACATTTCAATACAAAATACTTATCCAGAAACAAAAACAGGGCATAAGGGATATGCCCATATTGATTAAAAACTCTACAAATAACATGGCAACTAAGTTACCTTGGTACCGGTGCTGTCGAAGAATTTGATAATGTATGGATGGTTGGCCGGATCACTGTCAAAGATGGTGACAAGTGGCATGCTAGATTCCTTGACAAACTTCTCCAACGTTTCCATGTTGAAATCCTGATTGCATGGAACATGAATTAAACAAGAAAGTCTAGGAAGATTACTGCATTTAACAGGATCACTGGCCACCGTAATGTACGAACTGGATGTGAACTTGTACCTTGGAGTCAACAAAAGGTTCATCGAAAGGCTTGTATAGCCTAACCAGAGGCCCTGCAACAGATGACTCTCCACGTGGAAGAAGCTTGGCATCCAATGTGTGAGCAAAGTCGCTGTCAGCACGCAGTTTCTCGGCAATGGCCAAGAAGTTCTCATACTCCTCACCAGATAATTCAGGGAAAACTCCAACCTGAAGCAACAGAAACAAACATTCATGAGTACAATCCATGATGAAGTAATGGACAAGAATCCGAGAAAAGGAATAAAAGAGACAGTTACCACAACAATGTTCGTGTCACCCACAACCTCAGCAGCATCCTCAGCTGACTTAATTTCGACCGAAGCAGGGCCTTTTTGCTTCTTCAAGTAAGCGACAATTCCCTCGGCATCACGAGGTCCCTTGTATTCTTGAGATGATTTTCCTCCATTTCTCAGAATCCTGATTTCGGGTATGCCCTGAATCCCAAACTGGTTCGCAAGATCTCTGTTTGCTTCATCGGAGGCATCAACCTTGGCGAGAACGATCGGAGGGTCATGGCTGCTCAACTCAGATGCAGCCTTCTCGTACTGTAAACCAAATATCATCCATCAGTATTAACTGTTGCTAAAATTTTCCAAGTCCTGTCCTGTATATAAATCCTATTTAAATGATCGAAAAGCAAATCCATTACCTCAGGAGCAAGTTGTTGGCAGTGTCCACACCTGAAGAAGAACAAAACTCTGGTTAACCCACCAATAAAGGGCGAAGTCAGATCAGGCATCATTCTACCGAAAAATATGATCGGCAGAATATGATGATGATATTATATCAAAAAATATATAATCAAATCGATTCACATTGATCGGACCACTCAAACTCAAAATCACAAATACTTCATGAAACCGATCAGCTACGCCATCTCGAACCGTCGCATTGAAACAGCAAACGGAATAAGAGGCATGCTAACCCAGAAAACGCAGGAACCAGGAAAATAAATTCAGAATCAGAAGAAGACAAAATTGGGTGGTCCACCAGATTCACGACACGAAATCAAGTGAAAGTTAATTCTTTGAATACGATCAGAGAGGGTGAAATCGATCGAATACCATGGGGCGTAGAACTCGACGACGATGAAGTCGTGCTTGCTGACGGTATCGGTGAAGTTAGAGTGATCCAGAGCCAACACGAACTCCTTCGTCTCTGTCTCCTCCGCACTTATAGAAGACACAATCAATGAAAACAGAAGGATCGAAAACCACGCAGAAACTCTTGACGCCATTCTCTCTCTCTCTCTCTCACCAACGAGAACGTCGTTTGAATTCTCTCGTGTTTCGAGGGAACTCGGATATATATAGATATAGGTATATACAAATATATATCAACACATTCGCTACCGGATTTTTTTTTTTAAACCAAAATGCAGGTTTGTAAAGGGTAATATTCCACGTGGCGGTGTTTCATTGGATAGGTCTCGTCACGATACAACTATTTGGAAGGAATTTGTACATAGCAAATGTGTCTTGGCCTTAGCCGTTATCGATATTTTTCCTATTGTAACCAGCCGTGTTTATCGTGTACATGCAGACGGTCTAACCAATACGTTCCTGCCACGTCATGGAGTAGACACGTGGCGCGCATTGACCTTGGAATTCTCTCGCCTGTTTTTTTTTCCTTTTTGATTATGCAGAAAAATGGTCAAAATAAAATATTGAGAACATTTATATGGTGACCAATAATGGATGATTCGGTTAGGTCTTTTTCCATAATTATTAATTACCCGAAAGGATTATCTTGACACCCCCACATTTATATGCTAATATTATTTCAATTGAGCCATTATAAATTTGTTAAAGAAGAATAATCAAAAGCAAAAGCAAAATTCGGAGACTTCTAAAAAAAAGGGATCTACAACCAATTAACGAATGTATGTATATGTACAAAAATCCCCTACCCATCTAATATCTAATTTCAAGTACCAAAACTTTGAAATTCGCAATTCCAACCCCCAAAATCCAGATTTCACGATGCGCGAGGATACTGAAGCCTAACATGTTCATGAGCTTTCACCACCTCCGAGGTGAAATTTCCCAAAGCCTCGAAGATGGGAATCAGACCTGCTTGCAAGCTGGTCGAAGCTGCATTATTCACAAGCTTAATGGCTTCTTTGTGTCTTTCCCTCTCCTGCTCCAACTTCTTCCTCATCGAATCCAAATCCACTTTCAGATCATCCAGTGCCGAGATCCCGCTCCCCGAACGACCTCCCGTCGAGACCACGCTCTTCCCCGACGCTTCATCTCGCTCCTCCTCGTCGGCCTTCATCCTCGCCCTCGCCCTCTCTGTCCGTAAATCATTCAGCCGTTTCTCGAAATCGTGCGAGACATACTCCGCTTTCACTCTCTGCCTCTGCTCCTCGTCTTGCCTCTCCCATAACTCACGGAGACTCGAGGCGAAGCCTTGCATCGCGTTCGTTACATTCTCCCCGGATATTCTTGCCATCGCATCTTGCCAATCGTTGCATATGACGAAGACGGGAGGGGCCCCGAGCCGACTAGGGGAGAATGGGGCGATCCCGTCGTCAGTTGCTTCGGGTTCGTAGTGAAGGCATCTCGAAAGCCACCCGTTTAGGGACTCCGCATACAATTTCTGGGTGTTGACCCAATCGTTGAAGCTGTTGCACCATTCTCGAAGCTCCATCTCGAGGTCGAGAATCGCTTTCAGACCCGAGTCTCTTTGGAGGCCGGTGTTTGCCCTCAGAGACCGAACCTTGCTCTCCATGATCGCCTGGAACTGTTTCTGGTGGCACTTCAGCATCGATCTCCACATCTTTATCAACCTTTCGAGGTACATACAACATATGGGTCAAAAGATCGGTATGTACACGATATAAGTATCCGAGTATTAGCGACAAACGAGATGTTTTACCCGTGAATTAACTGAGTTAGTTGCGGCTGCAACTCTTCGTCCCTGAGTTTATGTATCCGACTGGAGATGGAATCGACAGATCTTATGCAGACATCGATCTTAGTTAGCAGCTTCCTGATCGATGCCCGAGTAGCATCGATCTTGCTAGATTCCGCTCCATGGCTATCAAGCTTTTTTAGGGTTTTGCACTTCTCCTCGTAGATGACCCGAAGTTTCTCTTCATCCTGACGTCAGAACAATGTAAGATTCTGAGGAAGCCCCAGACCCGTTAAGGATCCCGAAACACCCAATTCGAAAACATCGGTCAGTACCTTAACTTCCTTGTACAATTTCTTCTCCCATGCATAAAGCTTCTCCAAGGTCGACGATAAGTTGCAAGTGAAGCCTCCAGGCTCCTCGCCATTGTATGATTTCGCCATTTTCAACGTCCTCGATGTTAGCCGAACCGAGGGTTGAGGTCGAGACCGAGTTTGCAACATGGATGGTGCTACCAGATACATGATCCTGGAGAAGATCACTGAATTGAAACAGTAAGCATCGTACAAGCAACAATGGCCATCTGTTCTAAATCAACATACGATTTGTTCCAAGCAAGATCTGGAGATTCTTTATGTTCTGTCCACTACATCGGAGTTCATCGTGGGAAAATTCGCCAAAATCATTCTCCAAAACAGATATCTTTATTCGAAGTAGTTTTCGAGAATGAAAGCTATGCCCAGAAATGCATGGTGGAAGGATCATTTTAAGCAGTTTCAGACAAAAGTAAATAACAGAAAGGAGAGAATGAGACAGCTTAGATAAGGTATACCTTTGAACCCATTGTTCTTCCGCTGATAAGGTAACTTGCTGACTTCAAGCAATACAGCCACCTCTTTCCCATACGAAGAGGCAACCTCAAATTCATTCTTGATCTCCTTCACAACTTCTCTAAGATCCCTAGTGCCATGGACAGATAATGTGGTCAGGCTACTAATCTTGGATGATTCGACATCAAACGAGGTTGTGGTCGTCTCCTCCAACTCAAAGCTCACTCCTTTCTTCCTCCCGATCTCTTCTTCTGCTTCTTCCGAGCTCTTTGTCATTACCGTGCCATGCCCACTTGAACTGTTACTACCCTTTCCCTCGCCGCCATTAACATGATGGAATTCATGCCCTACATCACTGTTCGAAAACGATGACACTGTTGAGGAGGAGCTCTCGGTGGCACTTCTTGGCATAGGCACTGCCCTTGAAGTTCCTTCACCGGAATTTCCTCTTCCATTAATGCTCCTCTCGCGGATTTCTTCGATTTTAGGATTGTCATGCGCATGATCATGGTCATGTCTCTGTTCTGTCACAGACTCTACCTCCTTCTTCTTCTTCGTCTTTGTCTTCTTCGTATATTTGTAAGCTTCCTTGATGACTTCTTGCTCTGTTTCCTCTTCCAGATCAGGAATCCCTTCCCTCTCCCTGACTTCCCTCGAATCCGGACTGCTCGAGTTTGACCCGGCAACCGCATTGCTCGGCGGGTGCAAACCCGAATACCCAGCTCCGCCGCCGCTATAATCATACATATCAAACACGTTCAGGTAATCCCACGCAGAAACGCTCGGCGGCGCCGGCGGCGCCGGAGGAGGCGGAGCCGGAGCCGGTGAACTCCGTGGGACCTCCGCGAAATCCCCAGACGACGGAGGGTATCCAAAGAATCCAGATCTCGGGTTTCCAGGGTAATAACCTGGATACCCAAATCCAGGATCCGACGGCCATTGGCCGTTCTCCACTCGGTGATTCTCCGGCTGAAACACAACCGATCGAGATGGTGCCGCAGATTTCTTCATGTAATACATACCCGGGTACGAGTTTGGATTCGGGTCCGGGTTCCCACCCATGAACCCCCAGTCTCCCGGCGGATATGGGTACCCAGATGAGTAGCCCGGTGAATATAACGGAGGGTAAACGGGGGGATAGCCATGAGGGAAACTTTCCGGCGGACGGTAGTGGATATGACCCTCCGGTTCCGGACTGCTTTCAATGTGGATATGACCCTCCGACGGGTCAGATCCGGCTTCCGATCCCGATTCAGATCCGGAAGAGAGATGCAAATGCGAATCCTCTGTATTTTCTTCGTCTTCGTCTTCTTCTCCTTCTTCGATGACCGAGTGCGAAATCGACGTGGAAGACGACGAGATCTTAGGTTTCCGCGGCTTCCCCTCATCGGAGGGGAGGGTAAGCACGGGCGAATCCGGCGAAGACGACGAACCCACGACGAGTTCCTCGTCGACGAACCGGCGAATGGCTTCGCCGACGTCGTGGAGAGACTGGAAGTAGGCGAGATGAGCGGCGGCGAGAGCAACCCGGTGGTTCGACGCCGCTTTGATGAAGTCCTTGCGCTCTCTGCAGAGAATCACAAGCGGTTGATCATCTACCTTGGATCCTCCGCAACCCATCTGAACAACAGAAGAAGAAGAAGGGGATACGTCGCCGCCGAGAGTCCAGACGCTGCCGTTCTAAGTTTCATGGTTCCCGTCCGTACAACCTCGGAAATGGAGAAACCATCGTTTACTTTCCTCCACCTCAGAGAGAAAACCACCCACGAACTCTAAATCTGGGTTCCGCTTGCTTCAACTGAGAACAGCGCCAGAGATTGAAGCAGCCGAGAAGAAATCCCAGAAACAGTAACAGAGCAGATAGAAATGAAGAACTGGGAATATCACCACTGTTGTTATAAATAAAAGATGGGGGAAAACAAGCACTAAACGTACAAAAGAGCTCTCGTGCATGCGAGAAGGTGGCAGAGAGAGACAGAAGAATCCATGGTTGCTGATTTCTTTAATCGTGACCGTAGCAGACAGGAATCAGAGGAGAGAGAGAGAGAGAAATGGGTTTCTGAAAAAAACGAAGAAAATGTTTCGTCGGGTTGCAATTAATTTCAAAGTTTACAAATTCTAACAGATGGGGATGTGTGAAGAAAGCTAGGGATCTGGGCAGAAATTTAATGCGGTCGAATTGGGGAAGTCGCAGATGAGGAAGAAGAAAATCTGTTCTTTTGAATTAAAAAACCAAAGGACTAAGAAAATTTGCCGGAGAGAGAGAAGAGAGACGACGATGACGAAGGCTCGGACGACCCGCCATCGGTAACGCGCTAATGTCATCAATTCCCTAATTTATTGTTTTTTCTCCTTTTAACCCTATATTTATATTTTAATTCACTTTGGCCCCTGCCAAATTACCAAAAACCCCAGGGCAATCAATTTATTTCCTTATTTCCATAAATTTTCGCCTCAAATTGAATTTGATGCCATTTAGGTTTGGGTGCAAAAAATCCAATTTTCTATTTTGGTTAATAATAAGATGGATTATAATCCAATGTGTTTAAGTAATTAATTAAATGGTCAAGAAAAGTTGCATGGATGGTTAAAAGCCTAACTAATAAGATGTCCATGACAAGTTGTAACATCTGTTTGAATGCTTGTGTGTGCATTCATAAAATAAAAATAAATAAAAAAAACAAAAATAATAATGTAATTGCATGACTTGATCACTCCGAATTGCTTATTATTTATTCACAAGTAGCGTCACTTATTCAAATATAATTGTTTATAAGATGTCATGAATTTAAACTTAGATCCCATTTGGTGTTTAATTATGCATTCAGTTTTATCAATTATTTAAGTGATGCAAATTATGAGAGTGTACTTATAGGTGTACATTTGATTTAACCACATATCCAGATGAATCCTATCTAAAGAAATTAATTTGATCTAGGTGATCATTAGAATATAAAATAATCAGAAAATAAATTCATTCTAAAATATTTTTTAATGAAAATTAAATTTTGAATAGATAAAACTTTTTAAAAAATTTAAAACAAAATTAAAAAAAATCTAAATCTAAATAACTACATCACTGATTGTAATCATAGCATGGCATTTTATTAGTTAATTAAATTGAAGTGTTAAGAGTACGATATTAATTCGAATTTTTTGTAGCACCTTAATTTTTTTTTGATATATTCTTTTTGTGTGGCTAAGATCCTAGTAGAATTAATTTTATTTATTTGGGAGGTAAAAACTTGCATATGTTATGTTGTGTATATTCAAGACAAATGAATTATAAAATACTATTTAGTACAATGACTATAGGCAATATTTAAATAATAACCTTTCTAATAATGTAGACAAAAAATGACAAAATCTACTTGGAATATACAAATTCAACTATAAAACTAAGATTATTAACTTTAAAATTAGATTATGAGTATGATTTGTTACAACAAGCATAAATACTTTTTTTTTTGTAGTAGCATTTTCTTTTTGGTCCATTCCCCCATTCAATGCTAATAATTTCATATCCGCCAACATCTAATAATGTCATCATGTATTTTAATTTATTCTCTCTTTTTCTTTTCCTTTTTCAAAATCCCCACAAAAGAAAAGAAAAAAAGTTTTGGATTTATTTTCATAAAGCATAGGACATAGTTATCAACGATTTTTTCTTTAATGAATAGGTTACTAATTACATTGGAGCAATCACACATTGGAAATATATAGTGCAAGTTGCATCACATTAGTTGGGAAAAATATATGTATATGTATATATGTGTATATATATATATCACATATATATTGAAATTAGTTGGAATATGTTATAAATGAATAGTGAAGCTACGGTACTGTTCACGCAGCCGGATACTGTTCACGCAGCCGGACACTGTTCACGCAGCCGGGTACTGTTCACGCCGCCATACGGTTACTGTTTAGCCGCCATACGGTTACTGTTCATAAATACGTATACGTGAACAGTAACTTCGGATTTTCTATAAATAGCTCATTTCTCTCCTTCATTTGTACATAATTCCAAGAAAAGAAAATTATTGAAATCTTGTTCCTGGGTCTCTCAAACGATCGATTTCGGTTTCTAGTTAACGATCTGATTCTCGGGTCTTCTATATTTCTTCGTTTTTCACAACACGTTATCAGCACGAACGCTCTTCTACGACAAAGGTAATATTATATATTCGCTCTAATGATATATACACATATTAATTGATGCTTGAATAGAATTAACCCCAAGCTATATATAAATATCAGTTAATTATTGTTTAAATTAATGGACGGCTAAGCCGCCTTAATTATTTATTACTATTGGACGGCTGAGCCGCCTTAATTATTTATTTGTTACTGTTGGACGGCTGAGCCGCCTTAATTATTAATTTGAAATATTGTGTTATTTATGGACGGTCGT